CAAGGATACATTATCATTGCTCCATATTTCCAATAGGTGATTTCTGACATTGTCCCAAGGGACAGATGAGGAATCATAATGGTGGGGAGTAACACAGATCCATTTATATTGTGCATGGCATCTAGTGGTTAACTGAATTTTGAGATTTTGAATTTGATTTCCTACATATAATATAGTTTCTTCTAGAACATTTAATCGTGCCTCAAACTTCTTGTCTATTTGTATCTGCAAATAAAGTGCAGTTAAAATATTCTGGGTTAATCTATCCACATGATATGCAGTATGTATTTCCTGTACTAAAGCAGTTGTGAATATAGCAAAAGAACTTATGATTCCTATAAGAGCAGTAATACCTAATATAAGTGCTGCAATAAATCTCTTAGGGCGGTGTAAGGCTTTATCTACAAGTTGAATCATATACATGCCAGGATCATCATACCAATGTTCTTCTAATTTTACAGGTAACACTACATAAGGAGGTTGATGAACAACTATAAAGACAGTTGGTCCAACAGTTGGATCAATGCAGTTAATGTACATTTTGAACAGGATACATAATAGGTATGATTAATCTTGTTTACCTGTAATTGGCCATGACCTTGCACCAAGAGAGCATGAGGGGGACCCACACATGCCATGACCACCTCCATATGGTCAGGGAGTCTAGGCCTTTCTAGAAAAATCATTCCTGTAGCAGCTAATAATCTATATAATTCAGGATATATTTGAGCAACGACTAACCCATCCCAATGAGAACCATCTGTTTATTTTTTCTGGCTTTTTTATTAGATTATCATTCCAATAATACTTTGTTGATTGATTATTTAAATATCTTCTATAGTCATGGTCTGGGCTAGATACGGAGTAGTCATAAATGGACATCTGAGAGTTGCAAGGCGAAAATCGCAATCCTTTAGATTGAAACATACATTCATGCCATAAGGGAAACCCTTTAAATTTATCAATATTGCCCCAAGCATTATTTAGGTCTCCTAACAAGGCCTCACATAGAGGAATGGTTGCAGGAGGTTTATCATGGACCACAGTATCTTGATAATTATAACTCCCTATATGCTGTAGATTAAGTACCCAAAGATCCCTAGTTTTTGGATTCCCATTGGGAGAATCAGTTAATAAACTTCTATAATTGAGGGGAAGGCAGCCATCAGGTAAATTTGTCATATTGGTACTAAAGCATATAGGAGGATCATCAAGTCTCCCATGGAAAGAGAAATTTTCATCTGTTTTATGCAAGATAAATGATTTTGATTCTCCCCCCAAAAGATCAGAATTATTAGTAAACACACGAATGGAAGAGGATCCCCAAGGTGTAGGATGCAAGATTGGCGGATCCGGAATATATACCTAATATTGAGAAGCAGAAACACATATCACCTGGCATGAGATGATCGCAAGCATAGCCACAAACATATTCTCAGGGGTTATGTTAACACTTTGTCCTTCCACGAGACGCTGTGCTTGACTGGAGAGTTGTTTCAGTTGTCCCCAGGTTGGTGGGTTGCTGCGCAGTGTGGTCGGAATAGGTGGCGCAGTAAGGACTGGTTTGCGATTCTTCAAGGCGCAGCCGGCATAAAGGTGGAATCAGAGGGTCAGCAGCTTCTGGAGATTGGGCAGAACTTTCTCTAAATGGGATATTTATAGGGGGTAAAGGTCTACGTATCGGACGTGGGAGTGGAGGGTGTCTGCAAGACATGATGTCGGATTAGTCTATCAGGAATCCAGATAGGTGAGTGAACGTCCTGTGGAAAGACACAAGCATAGCCTCACCCACACGTTAATAATATATCGGGGCCTTTCCAAGATCCTGTTAAGAGATCTTTCCATATAACCAGTGGTTTGGGTTTCATGTCATCAGTTTCCCAATGTTTCATAATGGGAGAAATCTCACGATAGTCACAATTTAGATAATTGATGACGAATAGTGCATGATTTAGTATATGATGCACAGAACTATATTTATATTCTGAACTCTGTAATTTGGAGATTTGGGTTTTTAAGGTCTGGTGAGCTCTTTCTACTATAGCTTGTCCCTGCGGGTTATAGGGAATCCCCGTATTATGGGAGATTTTAAACAAATCACAGAATTTTTTGAATGCAGATGAAGTATATGCAGGTACATTATCTGTCTTAATAGCTTTGGGCATTCCTGCATAGGCGAAACAAAACATCAAATGTTGAGACACATCTTTAAAAGCTTCTCCGGTGCGAGCTATTGCCATAATTAAATGAGAGAAG